CTGTTAGGACTCTCAATTCAAAATGGTGTACTTATTTGTCTTCTTCTCTTTTAACTAACTTTATAGGGGCCCCTGTTTTGGGGGGTTTTCCCTTTCCCATAGTGTGTTCTTTGTAGGCCTGTCACGATAATTAATTGTGTTGGACGATACATTTTTCTGGAAATTATTGCGATAAACGATAATATTGTCGGTCACCGTTTTTAAGACCATTTTAGACATAATGATAATATATAATAATAATTCAAGTACATCCTTTCAAGCATAACTTTTTATTGAACATTCAACATTGCAAATGAAATGTGAAATAATATTAAAATATATAAATTAATAAATAAAACAAATTAATTAAATTATAATAAATAAATTAAATCACACACAACCAAAACAATAAATTAAATAGAGTCAGGCTGGAAAACAGAGCCCTCTCTCTCATTCATATATATATATAAATAAATAAATAAATAAATATGTGCACACATTATCTCACAAGCAAAAAAAATCTCCTTAAAACAACAGTCAAGTGTACAGTCCACTGTCAAAGACCCAGATGCCTCAACAGGCCATATCCAAATCTGTTTTCTAAGTTTTCGAGCAAGGAACACCAACATGTTTGCATTGTCGGGCGGGGCTCTCCATCTCCAGCTGCCGTGTTTGCTCCCAGCTGGGAAAACGGAATGGGGTGGTTGTGTTTTAGGTGTAGTTTAAAATGCGTGGTATTGCCTGCTTTTATCGCTACCTTTTTTAAACCAATGCGACACACCGCCCGGCTCATTCAAGTCCGTAGGTTGGCCTCGTTGATTTGGTTTGAATCCAAAATACTGCCACACCGGAGAATCGAGATGTGTAGGTTTTGTAACCAATTCCATTTCACTTTAAATTCCCCGCGAGTAAGTCACACGTTGTCTCCCGCTTGTCGCTATATTATTAATTTGGCTGCGACGCTGCTGCATGTGCAGGCGGAGTGCCCTGACCTGGCTGTGTGTCAGCCCCGCCCCTCACAGCGCGCCTGGCAGCCACAGCGCTCCAGGCTAAAATGCTGGTCACATCTTTATGTAAACGGCAATTTATCGAGCTCAGAAAAGTTATCGAGTCCATTTTTATTTATCGTACGATAAGTCAATTTATCGATTATCGCGACAGGCCTAGGTATATGGCTAGAAAACGGTGTTAATATTCAATATTGTTTTGTTTACTGGCTCATGGTTAGTGTGATTATCCAATCATTCAATCGCCCTGCTTTCAAAACATTCCCCAGTTAAAGTACTGTGTGTTATCGTCATTATTAAAAACTAAAGTGTAAAATAGGCAGCTGTGTTTCATGTGAATGCACTCATACTGTATGGGGAAACTGAACATATATTCCCCGTGCTATAAGTGCATTAAATCAGACGCATTTTGGTGCCAGTACCTTCTCATGGTTCTCCAGCTGCTCCACTGTGGTCGGCTTTGTCTGGATTCAGGAGAAAGATCAGATAATAATGTCGGGTTAATCAGATTAATGAACACTTTGTGATTCAGAACTGAGGGATTTGACAGCAAACAATCCGCCTGTTTATGCTATTTGTGACTTTTCAAGGTCTCAGTTTCTCGTTTACTGAAATATCTCAGGCTAATGTCAATAAGAGCTCATTTCACATTTTAAATCTATACATCCGCAGATCCCTGTTCAAGCTCCCTCATCGTTGAATGAATGTATTATAAAAGCAAGGGTTTCACTCTCTCCGTCCCTCTGTCTCCTTCCCTTCCTCCCTTTCCCTTCTCTAGTATGTTTTAAAAATAGACGGCCTATATGAATCTCATCCAGCTCGTGTGCAGGGTTCACTTTGACACACACACACACACACACACACACACAAATCCCCTTTGAATCAGTGTTCAAGCT